CAGAAACTAAATGTTCCAGGACTTCTTTCAGGCAGGACCTCACCTAAGGTAAGATATATATCAAGTAAGGTAAGTTTAGCAGTTGCTCTGCAGCGGTAGAATCCACTTGCATGCTCTTGATAAATGGGAAGTAATCTGAGAACTGCTCTCAGTAGAAGTTCATATAAGCAAAGTACCAAGTAGGCATGGGAGAAATCTCTGAAAAGTGACTAATAATCAGTAAATTCACAGGTTCCCTTGCTGCAGAGTAGCTTGGATGTGGAGTTGTATCTCATGGAACAGAGCTTGGATGACATTACAGTGCAAAGCCTGTTCCTCCTACATTTCCTGTCTACAGACTAGAGAAGAAAAATCACCATTAGCCCCTGTCAGAGGAGTGATAAAGTAATAGTCAATCAATGAGAAAAGGCTTCCAAGTCTGCCATAAGGTACTGACTCACTGCCATCTTGTGGCAATAACAAAGAGATCCAGAAAAATACCTGTCTTGCCATATACCATTCAAAGAAAGGACATTGCAGATTTCTATATTCAATAATGTAGCAGCATAAAACACACCAGCTTCACTTTCTGGAACCTGCATGTGATTCTTCCCCTGTATGTAAATATTTCTAATTTCATTCTACTATGAAGCACAAAGGGAAGAAGAAAATTTGAAACTTCTGTAAATCATCAGGATATATGCAGCTCAAATCCACATTTATTTTTTAGGACACAAAAGCTATTCCTGACTCCTTCCTGGTTCTCTTCCTCTCAAACCCTATTCTTTCAAAAATTCAAAAACCTGGTGACTTTTTGCCATCTGTGCTTTTACTGCAAATATACATCTAAGCACAACTTTAAGTTTAATGAAAACTTCAGAGTAAAAGAGTATTTCAATAAGTCGCACAGCATCACATTTTCTGCAGTCCCATAAGTTATTAGGTTAATGTAACTCAGCTGATTTACAGGAATCTATTGAATCTCATGCTGTGAACTGACTCTTAGCTCTTAATTTGATCAGCAAACTTTATTACTCAATTCCTATTAACCATTTTAAGACTGAGCTGGACTGATGTACATAGGTTATTAAAATAAGAAGCCTAGTAAACCTGAATAAATAAAGATGCGTTTGCCATCTCTGTCCAGAAGGGAATACCTATTTCCCAGTTCCTTCAGTGAGTTCCCAAGATACACCTGACTAAAGCAACAAATGCAACACGAGTGCAGAGGGAAAGGTTTATGGCACATATGCGTGCCAGCTTTCCACACACTCTTATATGAAGAAATATACTTACTGGTGAGAAATTTCGTATTGCAGTTTCCTGCAGGAGCACCAGTGTTTTCCAAAGCTGCAGCTCCGTGGCAGCATGGTTTGAACAGCAGCCCATGGGGCACTGCGGAGAAATGGCTGTCCTCAGGCAGCAGCAGCGGTGGCAGCAGCGACAGCAGTGATTGGCCTGGGTGCCCCAAGCTCCAGATGCTTCACCCTTGTAGCACAATCCATATTGGCCACAAAACACGGTGTCAAGAGAGGTTGATTTCATGAGGCGGCGACAGGGCGGAGGAAGTAGGGGGAGCTGCCTGCTTTTCCTGGTAGGGGTGTCAGTTTGACTGGAGGTTTCGGTGGTCTGCTTCAGGCTGCCCTCAGAACAGTGAACTAATACCTCGGAGAAGTCCACAGCACGGTCCCTAGCAGGGCTCTCACTGCAAGGAGCATTCTGCCCTGCGTACTTCATCTTTGAAGTGAAATCCAGCCTTGAAGACATCTGGACAGTTACAGATTTCAGAGGCCCAGCATTTGTTTCACTGTTTTGGATGCTGGTTTCCTTTGTTGATTTGCTAGCACACTGTATCTCCCCTATGCTGCAAGTCTCTCTATTTTCAGAAGAACTTAACCCAGACCCTTCTGCTTGGCAAGAGAGAGGGATCTGAGGTCTTTGAGGAGACCTGGGAACAGCACTGCTTTCTCTGGGCATTGATGGGCCCTGCCAAGGTATTTCTGGGAGCCCTCTTTCAAAAGAGAACCTCATATTTCTTGAATTAGCATCTGTTTTACAGAACCTCTGTCCATTTGTCACTTCATTCCCTGCGAGAAGGGGACCATCCTCACCGACCACTTCCATTCTCCACCACTCTCCTTTCGCATGTTCTGAAGGACCTCCCCGGGCATTTTGATGACATGCAGTTCCAAAATCCTTTTCTGTCAGACACCTCTCGCTTTCTTCTTCAACTCTGACCTTTCTTTCACTGGCAATCTCAGGGTTGGTGTCACTTTGTTCAGTGAAGGTTACATTCATATTTTTATGTCCTGAACTGCAATATAACTGACAATGGAGTTTTGAGGAGACAGGATCTCCTTCATCCTGGTTATCTGTCGCAAAACAAGGAGTATGCTCTCTTATGTACTCCTCTTTTTTTGGCTTCTCAATTCCATTTTTTTCTTCTCTCTTGACCACATCACATGACATTTTTTGGGCAAAACTCAGTGGCCCAGTGTCACAGATCTGATGTTGGCAATCTTCTGCAGTTAGTAGAAGACAGGTTTCTTCTCCCTTGTCACTGCACACTCTCATTGGTCTAGATACTGTCAAACCTGTCATGAAAGCTTTGGAGATGCAACCTTCTGTTTTTTCTTGAAAATTTTGATTTAACATAGGAAGCTCTGTGCTATATGACAGAGTCATTTGTTGATTGTGGGTATCAGAGCTAAGATTTATCTTTCCTGACAAAGATGCATTCTGGAAGAAAAGGAAAAGGGAGGCATAGAAATACTGAACTTGTTCTATCACACTGGTAAATATCATGCTGTAAGTATCTATTATATAAAAGGAAGCAAATAATCATTTTTTAAATGATTTTAATGATAATATTTTTAATATAAGGCTTGTGACCTTGCAAAATCCTACATTACTGTGGTGGCTTTTATGAAGTTTTAATGCATCCATGATTTTTTTTTGATGTTATTTTTTCCAGGGTTATAGAGTTTTCATGAACCTACTGAAGATTACTGTTCCACTCTTACTTGCAAAACTGAAGGCTCTGGCAGCTCCTCCATAAATCCACTGCTGTCTGATTGGCAGCTATTTGTTCTTGTGACCATCACCTCTGCTGAGAAAAATAAAAGGAGGAAAAAATTGAGAGAGAAAGATAGAAAGCAATACTAGACCAGAGCAGACACCAAAACAGGTGTGTGCTGTTCCTACTTCCTTTCAGTGTACTTTCCATTTCTAGAAATATTCCTGATCTTATTCCCCAGAAACCAGCAATTTTGCTGCAACCAGGACAAGTCACAAAATGTGTTCAGGGTAGCTACTGATATAACTCTGGGCACTGAGTTATCCTCCATTATGATCAACAGCTTTATATTTCATTTATTTGATTTATCTACACAACAGGCAGAGCATAAATAACCTGTAAAGCAGCCAACTATTGAGCTAAAAATGTTGACTTCTGACAGCTGATTGTTGGAACTGGCACAAACCAAACCTCAGTCACGCTGCTCACCTGCACAGTTTCAATGGCTTAATTCAACCAGGTGATTCCTGCAGGGAAGAAGAGCAGCCTTGTTTTTGCCCCAGATCAATTTGTCTCTACACTGAGGCACCTGGTATCATCTTTGCAGAGTTTTTACCTTGGGGTGCAATAGGAAATCACAGTAACAAGCACAGGCAATGCAGGGTTGCATGCCAAGACATAAAGGCAAGGGGAATACATTGCATCTACTCCAGAGGCTTCTAATCTAGCAGCCACACCATCTTCCTTTCTAGCTCAGTCACCTCCTGCCCTAACCTTTGGGATTAAAACAAATTCCATCAGCTATCTAATCACATGAATATATATAATACAACCCATTTTAAAAGCATAAATGCTTGATAGTAAATCATCAGTTATCCTACAAACCACAGTAATACCCAGCCCTTGGAAATCTTGCATTTTCAGATAGCCTTCATTAATGTCCTCATTATCAGATGACTCACAAAAATAGAGTTGTGGGGAGCAGAAAGAGGGAGATTGTTGGGGGAAGGAAGGAAAGAGACAGAGACTTCAGTATGCTAGTACACTTCTTCTCTTGTTGCTTACATTTGAAATTGCTGTTGAACTCTGCTCTTAAAGTCTTTTTCTATGCTGGTTATATCCATGAAAATAGGACAATTCACCACGCAGTTCTGAGACCTGAATTACTACTACTTATTTGTAGGATTATGAGATACAAAAAACATCTGTTCACATTAGCAAACTACCGACTTTATTAAATCTACCTTGAACAACTATTAATGAAAATCACACAGTTTTTTTATCTATTTACAGGCAGCAATTGTAAAATCAAAATCCGATCTCATGATCTTACAGACTGGATAGCTGGGCAGTGAGAAATCTTATACAATTCAACAAAGACAAGTGCAAAGTCCTGCACTTAGGGAGGAATAACCCCAGACACCAGCACAGGCTGGTGACCGACCTTCTGGAGGGCAGCTCTGCAGAGAAGGACCTGGGTGTCACGGCGGACAACAAGTTGACCATGAGGCAGCAGTGTGCCCTCGTGGCCAAGAAGGCCAATGGAATCCTGGGAGGGATGTGGAGCTGCTGGAGAGAGTCCAGCGCAGGGCTACAAGGATATCAGGGGCCTGGAACATCTGCCCTATGAGGAGAGGCTGAGGGAGCTGGGCTTGTTCAGCCTGGAGAAGAGAAGGCTGAGAGGGGATCTATCAGTGTCTATAAGTACCTCAAGGGAGGCAGTGAGGAGGATGGTGCTGGCCTCTTTTCAGTGGTGGCCACTGATAGAACTGGAGGAAACAGCAGAAACTCAAGCACCAAAAGTTCCACAAGAACTTAAGGAAAAAAATTCTTAACAGTGAGGGTGGCAGAGCACTGGAACAGGCTGCCCAGAGAGGTTGTGGAGTCTCCTTCTCAGGAGATCTTCAAAACCCGCTTGGACGCAGTCCTGTGCCACGTGCTCTAGGTGACCCTGCGTGTGGAGGGGGGTTGGACTAGATGACCTCTAGAGGTCCCTTCCAACCTTAAGCATTCTATGATAGTTCTGTGTTATGTATTTGAATTTTTTTTTTTTTTTTTTGCATCGTCAGCGCTGGTGTTGTCATCAGCACAAGGGTGCCTTACTTTTTCCTCTTTTGCTGAGAAATTCCTCCACATCTCACACATCACATCATTTGCAGTGAGGTTGTTGAAAAATGCTTGTTTTGTGGGTGGACTCAAAACTCATCCTTGCAGTCTCCCATAAACAACATCATGGTTCATTTTCTCCTCCAGGGACACTGCTCTACAGATTCTCTAAACTTTTGTTAAAGCTGTTTCAATTACCCTTTGCATCTTAGCCAGCTGTTGCTTCCAGTATGTCAGTCTGGCCTATAGTTTTTCATAAATAAAAATGAAGAAACAGTTAAAGGCTTAGAAAATTTTTGAAAAGTAGATATGTTTCAGCTGCTGTAGTTCCAATCACTTATGGGCTCAAAATAATACCCTTTAAAAGAAAGGCCCTCCATTATAGGATACAATAGTCGTAACAGTTGACCTTTAATTTTTGAAGTTGGCAGAATTAGAAGACTGTTATCTTTTCACTTGGGGTTTTAACATGCCTGATTATACATGCATATACCAAAGTAGCTGGGATGCTGCTGGAAATTACATGTGGGAAACAAAAAAATATTAACTTTCAATGGAAGAGTAGTGCTGTTAGAATTCACTGTTATAATTCACCTTCTGATCTGGTCAAAATCAAACAGTTATAACCAGGCCATTTATTGCAATAAATGTGATTAACCTATTCCCACTATGCAGTCAATATGGTTTGTGTATTGAAACCACTACCCAAAATATATGAGGAAGTGAAGTTCGGGATGGTCAATAGGCAAAATGAGAAACATAAAAGCCTGAATTAAAACTCTGCAGCTAAGTTAATATAATTACAATCAGGCTATAGAAAAACATCCATGTTTCTTCTTCTTGGACTTTCCCAGAAGTAAATGCGACATGTGCCACCATGACTCTTCGCAATTAACTGTGCAAAATATGTACATAAATTATGCCCCAAACCTGAAAGGCTGGCTGTGTGTTTATTTAAAAATAGTATATGAAAGGATTTAGTGACCATTCTGAGTATGAATCCAACTTCTACAGTTTTACTGTAATCAAAATAGAAATTTGCAAAAGAGGAGAAATGTTTAGCAGGAGAACTATGTCAAGCATAGTTCAACCAAATCACTGATGGTGAAATCAGCTTCATCTAAGTTAGGCATCCACATTGTATGTACCGACATAGTAGGTGTCTAATGAACTAGTCCTCTCAGAGTAAAGGCTTAAATTCCCCATATGGTCAATGCAAAGCAATGTCTCTGAGGGGCCATATTATGGATCTTTTCCAGCTACATTCAGATGCCTAATTAAATCATTAGATCCAACACTGATGTGCCAGATCCTACCCAATGCGCCAGACACTCTAGAAGTTACACACGAGGATAAATGAGCTTTAAAAGATGAAATTTTCTCCCTCGTATTCTTCTGACTCTGAGACACTCACTTCATTCAAAGTCTGTCAAAATTCCCTTGATTTCAGTGGAAGTCTGCATAAGAGAAAAAAAAGACTTAGTAAATATTATAATAGCCCTCCAACTCAAGGTGAGTTAAAATCCTGTGAAGAGATTATCAAAGTGCTTGGGAAGGAAGATCAGTCTGCTTTAAAATCAGACCATACCTGATGCTGTCCTGGTGAGGAACAGAGTTTCTTCCTTTGTGAATTTTTCAATAATGTTAATTGTTTGCCAGTGGTAACAGAATAGTTTGTCTTGGTAGCTGTGGTACCCAGTGAGGATAACCGTAGCTCGAGTTTCTGTCAGGAGAGCTCTTTGTGGGGGTCCAAAGCAGGCTTAAACTACACCTCCCAGCAGAAATTCTTCTAACTACCAGGCTTTTGAAAATGCCCAAACTGGATGCTGGCAATTTGATATATACAGATTAACATCTAAGCACTCCGAGCAGTTGCTGGGATCACCCATGTCTGTGCGAGTAGAGGCACAACTTATTCACAGTGACGATCACTCATTTTTTGATGCACTGAAGGACTGGTTTCGAGTGGGATTCAAGTTGGCCAAAAAGACTGGGAGAAGGGGAGTTTAAAAATGTACATACTTCACTTTGGCATTTTTAAAATGCTCCTGCTATTGGCTTTCAAATGTGCTTTCCTTCTGAAAGTAACTGCATTTTTTTCATTTGAAGGAGAGAGGTACAAAAATGGGTTAAATCACTTGAACATTAAGCAAAAGTGTTTTAATTTCTAGTCTACCCAAATCACATTTTTCCCCTATCATTTGGTTCAGCCACTGAACCAAAATATCCATTATTCATATAGCTGTACTCAGTTCTCCTAGTGTGTGGAGACACACGAACCTGTAGAGATTCTGCAAATGCATGCAGAGCATCGCACGAAGGGAAGATAAAGTATGTTTGGAGAAGAAATAGAGACACAGACCAGTATTCAACTATGAGCTAAAAATTACAACTCTGAGCCCTGTGCGGAAAGTACATCTGGCTATGCTGGAAAAAGGAAACCTGAGAATTGCCCCTGAAGACCTTGGTGAGGAAAACCTTGGCTCTTCGCCTTTCCGTGCTAATTGAACTGGGATAGTTTAGCTGCTGCATCCCATTTCTGTTCTGTCTGAATTTTAAATAAAAATAGGTCAGAGGCACTTATTAATCAGGTTTCTGCTCCATTTTGTATCATAAAAGAAGGCATATGCTTTCCAAGCCCCATAAAGTTCTGCACTCCTATAGTTGATCAGTCCAATTTCATTAAGAAATTCTCTACTTATTTGCATGCCCATACAGTCACTTCAATTTTCAGCAGCTTTCAGTGCAGGAACTTTCAGAAACTATTGGGTTCCTAGATTTATGACTAAAGAAGGGATATTCCCTAATTAATTTTTTTTAAAAAAAGTGTTGGAGTGCAGTTCTGGGCTCCTCTGAAAACTCTGCAGCTGGTTTTCTGTTGATTTGGCTGCAAACAGCACAACTTCTTTATGGTTTTTAGCCTAGAGAATACGTGCAACCCACAAAAGACACCTAGAGGACTACTACATTGATTATAAATAATA